ATCAATAGAATTATACTTAGGAACATAATTAATAAAAAAATATAATTGAAAGAAAAACCTACTATGTACGCAACGACAAGATCTCCTTCTTCAATATAAGTTTTGTATTTTAGAAAGCTGGTCATTATTTTAATATTAACGTTAAGGATAATTGCCAGGATAATAATAGTTAAACATGCAATATCATAAAAGATGTAATTCACGTGATTTCACATGAAATGTAATCTAAGATTTTATTTACATATTATCTTCGCACGAATAATACTTTCATTAACGGGCACGTAGCAAAGAAGTTATATGATCAGCACAGAAAACTTATTCGCACAATATTTTACTTGTGATGGTGGCATTTGAAATACAGTAATAAAAACCACTTGATTTGTTAATAATAGGATTTGTTAATAGTAGGACGATTTTAATGCTCAGAGGTGAAATTCACCAGGTACGTGTATGCTATTTCTCAATAATTAGCGTTTAAAGTACTAAGTAAAAATGTTCAGCACTCTAAAAACTCGAACTCCTAACCTAAAGTCTAAATTTAACTTTAATATTTTAAGATAAAAAATTCTAAAAATCTAATATGGCCGTTCAAAGTTTTTAAAAATGACCCGACAACCCGGCTTTTAATTTCATTTACTGTATTTATTTTATTTACAAAAATTTTATATATGAAAAACTACCCGGATACGTAGTAAATTTTTTTCCGACCAGGTATGGCCTAATAATAATCAAAAACAAACATACGAACGTACTGTACGTACTGTACGTACGTATAAATTTTTTTATACTATATTAGGCATCAAAATTTCTAATACGTAATACGTAGAATTATGGTTATACGTAACAAAAAGTAACCTTTGTAAACTATATAAAATGATACGTACAATACGTATAACAGTATATTTTTTTAATTAAAATTTAAATGATTTTTTTATACGTACGTATTATATACGTATACGTATACAGTAAATAAGTACTAATAAAATATGCTACATTCAATGTTCGAAATTAGTGTTCTCAGAGTTCTCATCTTATAAATTTGTGCACAGTATAAATTTTTTACTGTTCACTATTAAAAATTTTTTGAGAACAGTAAAATAATAATAGTGTTCTCATAAGTATATGGGGTTGAGTCAATAGAAACCAAGCAAATATTTTTTAATAGGTTTTTTTTTTTAAAACTATACAATAACTTAAAAATTGGTTTAAAATTAATTCTACAAGTTTGTAACAATTATTTAAAAAAAAATTTTATTAAATTTTGGTGGAGTTATCCTTTAAAGTTATAAAAATATTTATTCTAAAAAATTTGCTTGATTTCTATTGCTCACTCTAACATACTAAGGTAAATCAATAAATATATATTTATCTATTATTTTGAATTATTTTTTCATACTAATACAACTATAGCGAACTATAGCGATAGTATATATTTTCTAATACAGTCAACCCCTATAGTCGCCTCATATATATATAAGCACATTTTCTTTATAAGTTTATTTTTTTAAAAACTACTACGTATTAAATACGTATAATAAATTTGACTTCTACGTATAATTGGCACACTTCTCTATTTTTTGTATCATGGTGTGACTATAGAGAGGTTTGACTGTATACTGTTTTTTTTTGTGAACATAAAATCGTACCTTGAGATTTGGATCTGAGATTTCGAACACTGGCTACATTATATGTAAACTTATAAAAATCTTTTCACTAGTTTTTACTAATAAAATTTAGAGTTCTAGGTTAAAATATAATTAAAGGTTTAAGATGTTAAATATTTTTTTACTTACAATAACTATTTAACTAATTTTTGAGATATAGTAATTGTAATATTGTACTTTATTAACACCACTGGTATGGTTTAATAGGACCAATTGCAGTAATATTTATTTTACCGTATTCTTTTTTTTATAAAAAATAAGTATTACCAAAGAGAACCCATATTTTTAATTCTATATTTAGATATACAGAAACTTGTAAAAAAATATCGTTATCTAGGACTAGAAAAAAAATACTATATAATAATGACTAACTGACTGATGTTTCCTACCCTTATACTGTATATGAGACAAACTATATAAATCACTACTGCTATGAATAATCGGTAGATTTTTTAGACGACGATTTCGCAGATAATTATGGCTAGTTCCTAAATTACCGGTGAAATGGGTTAATCTATGAAAGACTCGAAAATATAAACCTCTATAAAACCGATATGGGGATAACTATGTTAAGTAGTTTAAAAGATTTATTGCCCAACGTCAAACTTGTTCTTACAATGGAATATAAAACCTTTTGTTTGAAAAAAAATTTTTTTTTATTAATAGAATTTATCGTTATTATCAATTAACAGAATACCAAGATATGATTTGTTAAAATTTAATTATTAAACACTATTTGTAACATACAATGATATTAAACGATACAGCTCACTATAAAAAGTGTCGTTTTAGAATAATTATTATAAAAGTTATTTCCTGATATATAACAGTAAATAAGTAAAATAAAATAATTACCATTGTCAATCTGCTTCTCTTCAATCTATTTTGATTCATTTGCTTCTTCCAATTCTTGTTGATCTCGAGCCCTAAGCTTTTCCTCTATCAATCTTTCAAGTTCTTTTCGTCGTTCAGTAGCCGCTTTAAGCTTCGCTTCAATTTCTGCATTCTCTCTCTCCTGTGCTTCAAGTTTTTTTTCTAATTGTTTCTCAAGTTCTTTACGTCGTTCTGCAGTTGCCTTGAGTTTTGCCTCAAGCTCTGCATTTTCTTTTTCTTGCTCTGAAAGACTTTTTCTTAGCTCGACCATTTTAGGAACTTCTATTTTTACTTTTTCAAGAGGTTCACTGAAATTAAGCGAATTGTATGGATTTTTTTTGGTAATTCTAACATGATTTCAAATAACGGTTTAATGATTCATCGTTCTTCCAAATCAATTTTTCAAAATGCTTCAGACAATGTTGAACTTTTCAACTCCTACATAGACGTTGTAGGATGAATGTTTAACATTATTGGTGTGCGCTTAGAAAGGATTGATTTATTAGATAGTGAAGGACGATGAACTATCATCAAATTCTGAACTAAGAAATAGCAAGTTGACAAATGAAAACACACATCAATTCCAATCGTTCGAAATCATCACTATCTTCTTCATTTTCAGATGTCTGTTTTTCGAAAGCTTCTTGGCTTTTTAAAAAAAGACATGAAACAATTACTATGTAAAAAAAAGAAAACGATAAAATAATTTAAAATATAATTTAAAATAATTTAAAACTCACATATCTACTTGTTCAAATTCTTCGCTCTCCTCTTCGGTTTCAGATACCAAAGTTTGATTCACGAAAGTTTCATCTTCTTGTTGAGATTCAGCCATGAAATGTTATTTTTTTATTTTTTATTTTTTATTTATTTATTTTTATATTTAAGGAGGATGCTCTACCGCAGTATCTTATTAAAATTTACGTTGTACTGTATGTAGTACATTTGTATCTACCTTGTACGTACGTACGTACGTACGTTGCATGGTACAATGTATACTGTATAGATTAGATTAGTCCTAAGCTAATGTTCCACTACCTGAATGTATCTTCACCACTTACGTACTACTATTAGTAATATGTGGGGCAGTTGCAGGGCCTGTCATTATTTTACGACGTTAGCTCCAGGACGATCCAGGAGCTCTCAAAGTTCAGGTCACATAACATGTGCTATTGCGCAACCAAAATTCAGCAAATCGTAAAATATTTCTAATCAGATTTCGTTAAAGCAAATTATTTTTGTTTAGATGCGATATATTGGTTCCAATATATTATTATGTTTCTAAAAAGAACATTTTAATTAGTTTCCAGTTTCATTAATTATAGGCAATTTTGGTGCGCCACTAATCTCGTCTTAAGTGCTTCAGGTTGATTATACGTATTCTCAGTTTTTACATTTATCGTTATATAATTTGGCTTAACTGTTAAGTTTCATGTAATTTTGATCATGGTTTTATTGCATCATTAAAAGTATCCTGTCAAATGGCACATGTTACGTATAAGATTTAATTAATTAAAATATTCTTATTAGGATGTGGTGCAGGTGCCCCTAAAAATTACAAAAATTACATTATTTTATTATTATTGGTCAATGAACATGCATTGATCGACGTAGCCTACGTCCAATCAGAAATGGGACTTCTGCGATTATCAGGCAATCGAGATTTCTGTAACTTTTAGTAACGGTAATGAAACGCGCATCTTCTCTATCAAGCGATACTTCTGACAAAAAACAGAAATCAAATGCCACACTTTATGATTGTCCTTCTAAAACAATTGAATCTAGTCATGAATATGAAGAAAATTTCAATTCAAATTATACCCAGCCACAATTTATTTCAAATTTTCGCAAGGCCTTTAGAAATCGTCAAGATTTCAAAGATCCATTAACCAATGCTACTATATATGGTTCCCCATTTCCAATCGCTCTTATTCCTAATATTTTTTCTTCTCAATTTCTTGAATCCGTAAAATCTGAACTCGAAACTGATGAATTTTATCATAAGTCTAATGATTTATACGAATTTTATCAAAGTGAAGATTTAAAACTTTCAAAAAATCAAAATACAATAAAATTAAGAGAAACAATTTATTCCGAAAGTTTTGTTCAAACTATATCTGAATTAACAGGAATTCAACTTGATTCTACTCCCGATTTATCTGCTCATCAATATATACAAAGTAATTATTTATTGTGTCATGATGATGATATTAAAGATGATGAAAATATGCATGGAAGGAGAGTCGCGTTTATTATTTATTTGGTTGACAATGATTGGACAAAAGAATATGGTGGTTGTTTAGATTTATTCAACACGTAAGCATATATATATATTAAATATCTACATATTTACTTACTTATTACTGTCATGATCAACTCACAATTCAATGGAATGTCTTGATTTTTAAAATAGTGATAGTCAAGGCCATCCAGATCAAGTTTCACTTTCAATTACTCCGAAATGGAACACTATGGTATTTTTCGAACTTAGTCCAACTTCATATCATCAAGTTGCTGAAGTATTAACTTCCACAAAAGTTCGTTTATCAATTTCTGGTTGGTTTCACGGTGCTCTTAATACCAGATTATCATGTGCTCAATACGTCCCTTTGGTCTCTGTAAATCCTGATCAATATAACATAAATGAAATTGTTAATCCAAGTTATTTAACAGAGCAGGGTATTAAAGATATTATTAAAGTTTTAAGAAGAGAAGCTTCAATAGAATTACAACAATTTCTTCAACAAAATATATATGAACAACTTATTGTCAGTTTTAACAAAGCACAATGGGATAAACAGCCTACAGGACCACCATTTATAAGAAGATATCAACTTCTTATGGATAATGCTGATAATGAATTACCAGATATTACTAATACATCACCTTTTCATCAATATATTTATAACTTTTTCAAATCAAAAATATTTAAAAATTATCTTGCACAAATCACTCGTTACAATATTAGTAAAGCTTACTCAGAAATTCGACAATTTCAATCAGGTGATTATACTTTAATTCATGATCAAGCGTTAGACAAAGAAGGTTTGGATATAACTCTTTGTTGTATTGAAGAAGATTGGAATCATGAATGGCAGGGTGGAACACATTATGTTGCTCGAGAAGAAGAATTATTAACTATTTGGCCAAAAAAGAATACTCTGAGTATAGTAGTGAGAGATGCTGGAACTATGAGATTTGTCAAGTATGTGA